GGAAACATCGATCGGCTGCCTCCTGCATGCCTCCTACTGGGGATGTGCCTGTAACCAAGGTATATGTCCTTTACTGGAATCGAACCTGGGACCTTTCAGTCTGCAGGCTGATGCTCTATCCACTGAGCCAAACTGGTTAGGGCCCATTTTAAGTGTTTTTATAAGAATTACTCTAGCCCAGTGGATAGAGCGTCGGCCTGTGGACTGAAGAGCCCTGGGTTTGATTCTGCTCAAGGTCACATGCATGGATTGTGGGCTCCATCCCAAGCAGAGGATGTGTGGGAGACAGTTGATCAATGGTTTTCATCATTGATGTTTCTCTCCTCCCTTCCTCTCTGTAATCAATAAAAAGTGTATGTGGTGTGTGTGTGTGTGTATGAATTATTCCAATTCTTTAAGGAAATAGTTTTGTTTAACAAGGCAAATAACTTCTAATACATAGTATGGAAAGATTTATTTAGAGAAGAGTTAACATATACTTTAGAAGTCAATCATATTAGCTACAATTAGGAATACCACTGTTCATAATGAAAAGAAATAGCAAAATCTGAATTTTTATGATATCAGTCTTTAAAAAATTGTATTTTGTAAGAATTGTCATCAAGTAGTGTGACCTAATTGTACTTAACTTTTTTTTTTTTTTTTTTTTTAATCAGGATATATCAACCCAAGAAAGCAACATATTAGGGGCATTCTGTGATATGAATGTAAGTTTTTGTCTGTTTTTATTCTTGGTTTTATTTAAAATTTTGTGGTCGTGCCCTCCCCCCCCTCCCCAATTTATGTCTTTTGAGTTTATTTTTATGTCTGATCAGTATTTTTACAGTATTGGTAATAACACTTTATTTTCCCCCTCAGGATGTAGAAGTACCATTGCATTTGCTTCGTTATGTATGTTTGTTTTGTGGGAAAAATGGCCTGTCTCTCATGAAGGATTGCTTTGAATATGGAACTCCTGAAACTTTGCCATTTCTTATAGCACATGCATTTATTACAGTTGTATCTAACGTAAGTATTCTTTGGAATTGGTTTTAATCTTGAGTACAATGTCTAGATTTTAACAACGAATTTTATGTCCAGAAAAGGCAGATTTTGAGTGATTTCCATGTATAATAACTTTTTTATATATATTTTTAAAAAAATTGAGTACAAAAACCTTACAGTATTTTTTTTAATTTTTTATAAAGGGTCAAGATCTCTTATTGTATATACTACTTTCTTATACTAATAACCATAATTTAAAAAAAAATTCATTAAAATCCAGAAAGCACTTCTGTGGTGAATATCACTGTTTCAGTTTCTTAGGGCATCCATGACAAAGGTACAACAAACTGTGGCATAAATAATAGACGTTTATTCTTTCATGATTCTGGAAACTAGAAGTCATAAATCAGGTGTCAGCAGTTTTTTTTTTTGGAGGTTCTTAAGAAGTGTCTGTTCTTGTCTCCCAGCATCTAGTAGTTGCTTGCAATCCTTGATGGTCCTTCATTTAATAGAGATGTATCACTCCAGTCTCATCCTCCATCTTTACATGGCTTTCTCCTCTGTGTGTATTTAAATTTTCCTCTTTTTGAAGGACACCAGTCATTGAATTAAGGTCCACCCTAATCTTGTGTGACCTCCACCTTACTTGATTATATCTTTAAAGGCTTCTTAAAATCTTTATTATAATAAAATTAAATTTGTATAAATTAGTGAATTTAAGTTGAATAGGTAACATTAGCCATTTACCTCTTATCTGAAATAATAAAAGGCTAATATGCAAATAGACTGAATGGCAGAACAACTGGCCGCTATAATGTGCATTGACCACCAGGGGGCAGATGGTCAGCATGGTCAATGTGCTCCCATAGCGGGAGTGCTGCTCAGCCAGAACCCTCGCTCATGGCTGGCAAGCACAGCTGACACTGCGGGAGACTCTCCAGACTCTGCAGCAGCACTAAGCCGTCAGTCAGACATCCCCAAGGGCTCTTGGATTGTGGAGAGCGCAGGCCATGCTGAGGGGATTGCCCCCCCTCCAGTGCATGAATTTTGTGCACTGGGCCTCTAGTCTGAAATACAAGATAGGCAGCTATGCAAAAAAAAATTGATTTTAACTTTTTCTTGCCTGGGTTTTTTTTTTTTTTTTTTTTTTTTTTTTTTTTTTTTTAACTGGGAAATTATCAGCATAGAGACAAAACTGTTATTTTATCAAGTTAAGGTACAAATCTGATAATCTCAGCCTATGCATTTATTTTAATCTCAAAAACTTGCTTCAGCCGTTCTTTTTTTTTTTTTTAAATAAATTTTTATTGTTCATATTATTACAAATGTTCCTTTCCCCCCCTTCTCACCCCACCCTTTGCCCTTTCCCCACCCCTCATTGTCCTCATCCATAGGTGCACAGTTTATGTTCAGTCTCTTCCCACATCCCCCTCTCCTCTTTTCCCCAAGAATAAACAGTTCACTCCCCTTCCATACCTCTGATTCTATTATATTCAACAGTTAATATTGTTCCTCAGATTTTTTTTTTTTTTTTTTTTTTAGTTTCCTTGGTTTTTAGATTCACTTGTTGATAGTTATGTATTTGTTGTTCATAATTTTTATCTTTATTTACTTTCTCTTCTGAAAGAACCCCCTTCAGCAATTCATATAATTCTAGTTTGGTGGTGATGAACTCCTTTAGCTTTTTTTTATTAGTGAAGCTCTTTATCTGACCTTCGAATCTGAGTGATAGCTTTGCTGGGTAGATTATCTTTGGCTGTAGGTTCTTGCTATTCATCACCTTGAATATTTCTTGCCATTCCCATCTGGCCTGCATGGTTTCTGTTGAGAAATCAGCTGACAATCGTATAGATGCTCCTTTATAGGTAACTACCTTCTTTGCTCTTGCTTCTTTTAATATTCTCTCTTTGTCTTTTGCTCTTGGAATCTTAATTATGATTTGTCTTGGTGTGGTCCTCTTTGGATTCCTTTTGTTTGGAGTTCTGTGCGCTTCCTGGACTTGTAAGTCTAATTCTTTCACCAGGTGGGGAAAGTTTTCTGTCACTATTTCTTTCAGTATGTTTTCGATATCTTGCTCTCTCTCATCTTCTGGGACCCCCATAATTCTGATGTTGGTTTGCTTGAAGTTGTCCCAGAGGTTTCTTACATTATCTTGAACTTTCTGGATTCTCTTGTCTTCTTGCTTCTGCGGAAGAGTGTCTTCTGGCTCTTTATGTTCCAAATCTTTGACTTGATTCTTGTGATCTTCCATTCTGTTTTTAGGACTCCATAAAATATTTTTTATTTCAGACAATGTATTCTTTATTTCTTGTTGATCCCTTATTATTTCTAGTTGACCCCTTTTCATATCCTCATAGGTCTTGTTTATTTTATCGGCCTTTTCTAGGAGATTCTTGAACAACCTTATAAGTGTGGTTTTGAACTCTATATCCAGTCGCTTTTTGTCCTCCATTTCTTTCGTTTGTGATCTATTTGGTTTAGGCATTTTCGCAGGCAGCTTTCCTGATGGGGCGGGGTTTCAGGGTGGAGCCTACAGCCTTGGCTTCCATCAGCCTCGCCCTATGCGACTCCTGAGACTCAGGGTCCTTCAGTACTTGTTGCGAGCGCCTCTGAGAGAAAGGTGCCCTCGATTTTCGCCTGCTGCCAAACTGTCTATGCTCTCCCCCAATGAGTCCGGTATTGGGGTTCAGTTCAGTTGGTAGTGGGATTGGAGGTGGCGTTCAGAGCAGTCTGGAGCCCCTGTCTCCTTCCTGTCAGGGCAATCCCACGGCACAGCCGGCCGGCCCTTCTTTGCGCGCAGTGTGCGCGCCTCCGGGACCTCCTTTCGCCGCTTCCCCGGAGTCCCGCCTTACAGCCCGGCTCCCTATGGATGAGCCTGGGTCCCCGGGGTCTGGCCTAGAATTGGGGTTCAGAGCAGTTGGAGCTGGGCCCAGCACAGTCGGAGCTTTTCTCTCCTTCCCGCTTGGGACCGCCAGCCAGGCACTCGGCCTCCCTCCTCTCTGTCTCTGTCCTCTCCGCGCGCGCCGCATGTCTCCGTACCTTGGGCTTTTACAGCTCCTCCGTGCTTCCTTCTGGTTTTCTCCTTGCTTCTTGTTGTAGAATTTCCAGTAAGTCGACTTTCCTGTAGTTCTGGGTAATGACCATTTTATATTTTAGTTGTATTTTGTTGAAATTGTTGTGTGCGGCTGCGGCTAGTTGCCTACCCAAGCAGCCATCTTGGATTCTCTCGCTTCAGCCGTTCTTAACTAACATTGACAGTTTAGCAGATTTCTCAGTTTTGCACAGATATTACTTCACTACTATATGGATCCATTCTTAGTAATGGCTGCAGTCACAGGAGAAAAACAAATTTCTTTGGGTATGTTGTTTTCTTTTTGTTGGCATTTAGGTTTTTAGCAAAAGCAGCACAGGTTAGAGAAGTAGAATGTAGAGTCCTCTATAGGTGTTTCCCACTGATATCCAGGGTGAGTTATGGTTGGTTTTAACTTACAGTATCCTACGTCAGCTCTGGCCCTTTGATTGTGTTAGTCATCTCAGACATACTAAACTACCTTTTATTAATGAATCCACTAGAGCCATGGGATTTATTTTATTAAGAAGTATAAATGAGGCTTAATAAAGAAATTGAGATGTAATCAGAGATGCAAACTTGCAGGGTTTATATTAACACATCCAATAGACATAGTAACAGTTCCTGAACTCTGAGTCCTAAGACTACTTTTACAAAAATAGTATAAAGGACTATTAAACATCAGAACTTAAGCTAGGATACATTTTAACGTATCTCCACACTAGACAAGGTCAAGTTTTCATTTCTCCATTTTTTGTCAAAAGTAGCAGAATACTGCCTACTTTTCTGCTACTATAGGGGAGCAGGGAACAATTTTTCTATTTACTGAATTTTTAAACATGTACTTAGTAGAGCTCCTAGATTTACCACCAAGAGGGGAAAAGAACAAGATTTCTGATGGAAGGTATAGTATCGTAGTTTCCCCCCCCCCCCCCCCCCCCCTCAACTTTGTTTGAAACTAGCCCACAGACTACAAGCACTGTGTGGCCAGTTTTACTATTTCCTCCTTTTACGACCACCAAGATCTGTTCAGGTCCAATGGGAAAGGGAATCAGAGGATCAGTTAGATGTTTTCAACGTCTAACTTTACCTTATTCTAAAACATAGGGGCAGCAACAAACTGGTATCCTCAGAATACTGAAAGTTAAAACCAGACGCTGCCAGGAAACATGGGGGTAACCTACAGAAAAAGTGTGAAAGCTCTAAACCAAAAAGTTGTTTCAGTACATCCACCTGCATGGACCCAGGTGGAAGGCTCCCAAGCCCAGGTCTTGAGATATAGGAAAGGCGAGTGGCAGCTGCAGGTATTATGCTGACCTGAACTATCAAAGTCTCTCCAGGTTGTTCTTGCATGCAGTTGGAGATACCTCGTGTGTGTGTGTGTGTGTGTGTGTGTGTGTGTGTGTGTGTGTTTTGTTTGTTTTGTTTTTAATATCTTTTTATTGATTTCGGAGAGGGAGAGGGAGGAGGGAGAGATAGAAACATCAGTGATGAGAGAAAATTATTGATTGGTTGCCTCCTGCATGCCCTCTACTGGAATCTTTTCCATAATCTGGGCAAATGCCCTTGACTGAAATTGAACCTGGGACCCTCAGTCTGAAGGCTGACACTATCCACTGAGCAAATCTGCAAGAAAGTCACCTTCACTTTCCTATCCAATGGCCGACAGTCCAGTTTCTCTCCGTAGGAGTTTGAGTCCCCAGCAACTGGGTTGGTTTTCAGAGTAATTAGGAGCTTGTCTTCCTTCAGGTTGAAAAAAAGCAGCACTTCCAATTGACCAATTCTGTGCTCCTCCATTCCTCAGCTTTTTAGCATTATGCACGTCTCAATGCTCTTTTCTCTTTCCTTCTAGTTGCAGAACTTCCACTCAGCCAGCTTTCCCGTGGTTCTGGTTGATAGACATTTTGTCTTTTAGTTGTAATTTTGAAATTGTTGTGCAAGGCAGCAGTTTAGATGTTTACTACGCTGCCATTTTGCTTTCTTGAGATGGTTTATTAAAAAACTAATTTAGTTCCGAAGTATTTGGGTTGCTATTATATTACTTGGATAAGTCTTTGTTCTTTTTCAGCAAGAAGCTAATAATTTTTCAGATTGATTTTATGTTTGTGTATAAATCCAAACTCCTGTAACATATATAAAATCTATACAGGTTAAATTAATTACTTGGTAATGTGCATTGTATTGTTCCTTAGTTATTCTTTTGGAAATAGATAAAATATATGTAGTTTAGATGCAAAAAAATTCTAAATAATCTTGTATTTAATTAACGTGAAATATACATGTATTCATATGTTAATTATATATTAATGCCATCTTTATATTTCTTTATAGATTAGAATATGGCTACATATTCCCGCTGTCATGCAGCACATTATCCCTTTTAGGACCTATGTTATCAGGTATGTTGATAAAATATTTTCTGCTTGATTATCACTGTTGTAGATTTAAACAATTTATGACATAGTACAAAATCGTATTGTTTTAAAGTCCTCTGTTTTTACATTCTTTAGAGAAAATTTTTGTTATCAATTCAGTGTGTAGTATTTTTTATGCATATTTAATGTTGCTTTTAAAGCCATTTATGTCAAACTTTTTAAACATGGTATGTAAAAAGAATTAAAGAGATTACTAATGGTTACATGTGATTCCACTATATTCATTCAAAAAATATATGCTAAGCTTTTATATTCTAAGCAGTGGGGATATAACAGAAGAAAATATTTTTTTTGGTGCAACTATTCACAAAATGAATAAATAAACGACATAGTTCGTCAGACAATGATTAGTATTAGAGAAAAATAGCAGGAATGGTGGATTGAGAGTTCTAGAGGGTGGGTCACAATTTTAGATATGGGAATAAAGAAAGTTTCATGGAGGAGAAAGTAACAGTTGGGTTTTGTAAGTCTCAGCTTAGGACGAAAATATATCAAGAGGATAAAGAAGAATTGTATTGATTTGTCTTAGAGTATGAACTGTTAAGAATTCTAAGATTGTGCCGAAACTGGTTTGGCTCAGCTGTAGAGCGTCGGTCTGCGGACTGAAAGGTCCCAGGTTCGATTCCGGTCAAGGGCATGTACATTGGTTGCGGGCACATCCCCAGTAGGGAGTGTGCAAGAGGCAGCTGGTCGATGTTTCTCTCTCATCGACATTTCTAACTCTCTATCTCTCTCCCTTCCTCTCTGTAAAAAAATCAATAAAATACATTAAAAAAAAATTCTAAGATTGTATTACTTGATAATAATTACAAGTTCTTTTTACTTTTTTTCACTCATTTGCAAATAATTTGGTGTATAATAATTTTGCATTGCTGTTTGAGTTGTTAAAGAATGTGTCAGAAAAATAAACAGATAGTGATGAATGCTACTCTAGTAAGGTAACATGATAGAGAAGGAATATGAGGCCTTTCTTAAAATTGACATCTGAACAACATGAATCATCTAATCAGATGATCCTTAGGACATATTCCAGAAGGAATGTTAGGGCATAGGCTTAAAAGTTGGAAAGAATATAACATACATAAAATATATATATATATAAAAATATATATATTTTATATATATATTTTATATTTTATATTTTATATATGTTATATTTTATGTTATATATATATGTTATAATATATATATATATATATATTTTTTAAATATATTTTATTGATTTTTTACAGAGAGGAAGGGAAAGAGATAGAGAGTTGGAAACATTGATGAGAGAGAGTCATTGATCAGCTTGCCTCTTGCACACCCCTTACTGGGGATATGCCCGCAACCAAGGAACATGCCCTTGACCGGAATCGAACCCGGGACCCTTCAGTCCCCAAGCCGACGCTCTATCCATTGAGCCAAACCGGTTTCGGCATATTTTTAAATATATTTTATTGATTTTTTTTTTTACAGAGAGGAAGGGAGAGGGATAGAGAGCTAGAAACATCAATCAGCTTTCTCCTGCACACCCCCTACCAAGGATGTACCCACAACCAATGTACATGCCCTTGACCGGAATCGAACCTGGGACCTTTCAGTCCACAGACCGATGTTCTACCTACCCACTGAGCCAAACCGGTTTTGCTAAGAATATAACATATTAAAGAGTCTAGAAGCAGACTGCTGTGGAGCACAGTGTATATGGGAGTAGAATTATGATTTGATGTTGAATAAGCAGGGACAGATTATTCAGGACTGTCAAGCCAATATTGGAATTTGGGTTTAATTTTAGCAATGGAAATCTATTGAAGAGTTTTAAGCAGATGAGTTAGAATGGTTTTTAAAAGCTTATTTTAAACAAGACAGAGATGTCCACTCTTAGCACTTTTATTCAACACAGTGCTCAAAGTCCTAGCCAGAGCAATCAGGCAAGAGAAAGAAATAAAAGGCATCGAAACTGGGAATGAAGAAGTAGAAGTGGCACTTTTTGCAGATGATGTGGTTCTTTGTTTGTTTTTAAAAAAATATATTTTATTGATTTTTTTTACAGAGAGGGAGAGAGAGAGAGAGAGTTACAAACATCGATTAGCTACCTCTTGCATACCCCCCTACGGGGGATGTGCCCGCAACCAAGGAACATGCCCTTGACCGGAATCGAACTTGGGACGCTTCAGTCTGCAGGCCGGTGCTCTATCCACTGAGCCAAACCGGTTTTGGCATGAAGTGATTCTTTTTTTTTTTTTTTTTTTTTTTAAAATATATTTTATTGATTTTGTACAGAGAGGAAGGGAGAGAGATATAGTTAGAAACATCGATGAGAGAGAGTCACCGATCAGCTGCCTCTTGCACACCCCCTACTGGGGATATACCCGCAACCAAGGTACATGCCCTTGACCGGAATCGAACCTGGGACCTTTTTTTAGTCCCCAAGCCGACGCTCTATCCATTGAGCCAAACCGGTTTCGGCTGAAGTGATTCTTTTTATAGAAAACCCTAAAAGAACAAACAACCCATTAGAAATAATAAACAACATAATAAATTTGCAGAATACAAAATTAGTGTACAAAAATCCACTGCAGTCCTATTACTAATAATGAAATTTCAAAAAAAGAAATGGAAAAAACACATAATTCCGTTTGCATTTTCAACAAAAAGAATAAAATGCTCAGGAATAAACTTACAGATGTGAAAGTCTTATATACTGACAACTACAAAACCTTATTACAAGCAATTGAGCTATAGCTGGTTTGGCTTAGTGGATAGAGCGTCAGCCTGTGGACTGAAGGGTCCTGGGTTTGATGGTAGTCAAGAGCACATGCCTGGGTTATAGAGTTAGATTCCCAGTAGGGGGTGTGCAGGAGGCAGCTGATCAGTGATTCTTTCCATCGATGTTTCTATCTCCTCCCTTTCTCTTCGAACGCAAAAATATATTAAATTTTTTTTAATTAAAAAAATATTGAAAAAGACACTATGAATTGAAAGATATCCATTGCTCATGGATTGGAAGAATCAAAAATGGTTAAAATGTCTATAGTACCCAAAATAATATGCAGATTTAATGTAATCCACATCAAAATCCCAATGATATTTTAAATTTATTTTTATTATTTTATTATTGACACTGTTACAGATGTCCCCCATTTGCTCCCTCCACCAAACCCCTGCCCCAGTAACTTTTTTAAAGAAATAGAACAACAACAAAAAGAAATCAGATTTCTATGGAATCACAAGAGATCCCAAATAGCAAGAGAAACCCTAGGGAAAAAAAAACTGAAGGTATCACCCTACCTGACTTCAAATTATATTACAGAGCTATAGTAATCAAAACAGCATGGCCTTGTCAGAAAAAATAGATACACAAATCAGTAGAACAAAATTGACAAGCCAGAAGTAAAATCACATACATATGGGCAGATAGTTTTTGACAAAGTACCCAGAAACAGAGTGGAGAAAAAGTCTCTTCAGTAAATGGTACTGGGAAAATTGGAAACCTACATGCAAAAGAATGAAAGTAGTCTGGAGTTTGTTCCTATATAAAATGTTAATTCAAAATGGATCAAAGACCAAAAATATAAGACCTGAAACAGTAAATTACATAGAAGAAAACATAGGTATTAAACATATGGACCTTTGTCTTAGAGAAAATTTTATGAATTTGACCCCAAAGCAAGGACATAAAGGCAAAAATAATTGAATGGACTATGTCAAACTAAAAAGTTGCACAGCAAAAGAAACCACCAACAAAACAAAAGGGCAACCAACCATAATGGAGGAGTTATTTGCAAACAACAGCTGTATCAAGGGGTTAATATCCAAAGTATATAAAGAAATCATACAACTAACCACTAAACAAAGAGTCCAATTAAAAAATGGGCAGAGGATCTGAACAGACAGCTCTCCCAAGAAGACATACAAGTTGCCAACAGATACATGAAAAGATACTGAATTTCACTAGCTCTTAGGG